TGTTCCTTTTCATCTGTTCGGGCTACTGGTTGCACAACACACACTATCACGTATACACACCAGATAGACGAGCGCAAATGGCCGCGTCACCTGCAGATATGAGTGAGCGCATTTAGCGGTGAACAAAATATGTTGTCAAGTATTTCACAGGTATTTGAACGAGATGATTATAACTTGTGAATTACTTAACCGAAATGACCTCTTTGCACTGACATGGGGTAGGGGAAGCATGATTGCGTAAAACATATATATATCGCCTTAAGTTTACATACCACAATCAGGTTTGGACAAAGCAAATGTGTATGAATTTAATCTAAAGGGCAAATGATTTATCCGCATGTATACGCACGCACATCTCGGGTTACATATTTTAAAATATGGATGTGTGTTTTCGATCGTTGAACCTAGTGATAATTTGCTTGATTCATCCATTTTTATCCTACCTAAACCTTTTTGCCTCCAAAACGTACTACTGAACCTCCATTAAAGCAATTTTCCTGCATGTGGCGGACGAGGGTTGCCCCATAGTATGGGTTGTGGAAGACAATTGGCCTGGTGGATAGAAACGCCTCTAAGTGCCCAAGCTGCTTAACATTGGAGTTTTGTCGCGGTTGTTCTGTAGTCATGAGAATCAAAATTTAAATTTTGATCAAAAACACGCATTAATAAAGGATAGATTGCTTTTGCGCACTGACTAAAACACTGCAATGTTTGCGGAAAGATTATCCTTCTAGAATGAAAATTAACATAGATCTATGTAAAGTTTACTTCCAAATAGTACGTCCCAAAGTTATCCATTGCACGAAAAGAACTGATTTTTGCCCCTTTAAGAGTGTCCTATAGGTTTGTTTTGTACTGCCTGTGTACTGCTGACAACCCTAAAACCTAATACATCATCATGATGCATGTTTTCGAAGAATATTTTAGAGTTTTGTGCTTTAAATGAAGAAGCAAGAATAAATTATACGCTCATTCATAGAGAAAATAGTTAAATGTGGATTACGGAATGATCTGAGACTTTCACCGAAACTATTTGTTCGGGTCGAGCAAGTCGATTTGTTAGTTACATAAAAGATTTATTTTTGGGGTTTATCTTCCCGGGGCGTACTATACCAAGGATTTTAAGTATTAAAACAAACGTGGGATCATAAAGTTTAAATATAAATTATTCGGATCTGTCGAGACGTATATAACAATGCTTAGCCTATCGCGGAATAGGATGAGCAAAGCAAATAGCCCACTGATTACTGGATTTATGGCAGGTAGAAATTAAAAACGTGGCGACTGGCAGCCCACACTATGACTATGTAGAGTATGTTGGTAGACCCATCGTGGCACAGAAAGAAAGAGTAAGAGTTTAAACAGAAAAGAACCAAGAATTTAAACGTCGATCCATAAGAGAGGTGATTTATTATGTTTAATCAGAAAAGTATCTTTAAACATTACGATTCTGCAAGGCATTCCAATTGACTAAGTATTTCAATAAGCCAGAGCTTACAAAGCTTTATTGTCAGTATTAGTTTAGATGACGAGTATATCGTATACCAATGGCATTGAATATGCGAGTTCCAGGAAGCAGTTTAGGAAAAGAAGAAGTGACCACTGGAACAAGAGTTTTGTTGACCTGACGTTTCGGATTCCATCGGGAATCCTTAATCATAAGTAATCGTAGAAAAATCTGAGACATTCGCAGAAAGGACGATACTTGCAGAGGTTGAACGGTATTTATAATAAATGGTATTCATTCACATGCGGACAATAATTGTCAGTTCCTGTAGCCACCGCTTGAGGTCAAAATTGGTTCAGTGATGGCACATTAATTGCTTTTATGTTCTTCTCGGCGTCTGAGGCTGGGTTGATAATTGCGCAATAGTTATGCCCGCTGTCGTCCGTGGCAGTGGGTTTCTCGGCCTAATGA